GAAATCAAAACCAATTTCAAGTTACTAAGGCTCGAGGGCTTTGCGTACCTTAGTTTTCTTATGTAAGGCCAAATTCATTCCTGAAAAAAATGTCAACTTCAGTATTCTTGTTTTCCTGAAAGGTGAATTTAGCTCATAATGCTCATGCATTTAAAACAATGATAGCATTGCTATTCTAATTTATTATTAAGTAGTTCCTCTTTGATTTTAAGGATCTAACAGAGCATGGCAATATGCTTATCTGTAGCCAAACTGAAAGGATCTTAGTCAAATAAAATAAATAAATTACTGTATCAAAAGGGTGAGATAATACCCCTCACCAGAAATCAAATATAAAATCTAAAAGACAGCAAACACTGAGTGTCAGCCAGAGAGGTGCCAAACTAGCTACAGCAAAATTAATTTACAGCGGGCAAGAGCTGTGGTGCCCCCACCACTGTGGGGGAGAAGGCCTGTCATCTGGGCACCCTCCCAGGAATTAATTGCAGCACTATATCATGGAAGGAAGCCTAATTCTCAGTCAAGGCAACAAAAACTTTGGGGTTTAAAATATAGATCCTGGGAGGATTTAAGTTGCAAACAAAGCATCTGAAAGTTTTAGCTATAACAACACAAATTTATCAGAATTATCATCAGATGTAGCTCTTGACAACCAGGAAATCCCTACAGGTTTTCTTCTCATAGGTGTCTCCAGTTCTTCTTCCAGGAAGACCACTGCCCATGGAAGCGCCTTCTTCAAGTCACCCATTAAATGACTCTAGTGTTAGTAGTTCAGTGAGCAGTGCTGATGGAGCCTCTTTCCTGTGGCTCTTACTGTTCATCAAGCAGTGAGCCCCTGCTGCAGCCAATCTGTAAGGACAGAGATCTCTCCTCTGCTCTTCTGTGTTCATAAGGTATATGGGAAAACATCTGAAACTTCTAGCACTTGTGATATTGTAATTGGGTGAGGTGTTAAGATGAGACACACACACAATTGCATAATTTTCATCCTCTTTAGGAAACCTAGCCTTAAAAGGACTAGTGTGATCTTTGGATGTGCAGAGAAGTAGAGCGCTGATTTTATGTTTGTATTACAGCCTTGTGGAGAATGATACAAGAATGTGGCTTCCAGTTGGAAAAAACAACTGGAAACAACTATTTTCTAAAAGATATTGCAAATTTGCCCAGAGAAGAGCCATAAAAATGACTGGCAAACTGGAGAAAATGCCTTCCAGGGAGGGGCTTCCATCTCTTTGCCTTACCAAGAAGACCAAGAAGAATGTTTATTATGTATATCTGTTCCTTCACAGTGAAAAAATACAAGACCTTAAAGGGGTTTTTAAACTAGTAGAGAAAGTCTCCTAAAAGCCAATGAGGGAGGTGAAAGCCAGACAAGCTGGAAAAAAAAAGGAGAAAAAAAAAAACCAACACAGACTTTCAAACCAGGACTGGCACAAACCCTTTCTGGAGGTATTCTCCTGCCAAATACAAGCCATTTCACTCAATACTATGCTCCATGTTGTGCAAAAGGTCAGCTTAGATGGTTTAATGGTCACATAGGGAAGATCTACAGATGTCATCTACCTAGACTTCTGTAAGGCCTTTGATACAGTCCCCCACAACATTCTGGCCACTAAATCAGAGAGATATGGATTTGATGGATGGACTGTTAGATGAATAAGGAATTGGCTGGATGGCCGCGTCCAAAGAGTTACCAGTCAGCGGCTCAATGTCCAAGTGGAAACTAGTGACAAGTGGTGTCCCTCAAGGCTCCATACTGGGACCAATACTATTTAATATGTTTATCAATTACATAGACAGTGGGATTTTGCATGCACCCTCAGCAAGTTTGCAGATAACACGAAGCTAAATGGTGCAGTTGGTTCGCTGGACGAAAGGATGCCATCCAGGGGGACCTTGACAGGCTTGAGGAATGGGCCCGTGCAAACCTCATGAAGTTCAACAAGGCCAACTGCGAGGTCCTGCGCCTGGGTCGGGGCAATCCCCAATATCAATACAGACTGGGGAATGGATGGATTGAGACCAGCCCTACAGAGAAGGACTTGGGGGTACTGGTGGATGAAAAACTGGACATGAGCCGTCAATGTGCGCTTGCAGCCCAGAAAGGCAATCGTATCCTGGGCTGCATCAAAAGAAGCGTGGCCAGCAGGTCGAGGGAGGTGATTCTCCCCCTCTACTCCGCGCTCTCGGGAGACCCCACCTGGAGTATTGCGTCCAGCTCTGGGGTCCCCAGTACAAGAAAGACATGGACCTGTTAGAGCGGGTCCAGAGGAGGGCCACAAAAATGGTCAGAGGGCTGGAACACCTCTGCTATGAGGAAAGGCTGAGAGAGTTGGGGTTGTTCAGCCTGGAGAAGAGAAGGCTCCGGGGAGACCTTATTGCAGCCTTTCAATACTTAAAGGGGGCTTATAAGAAAGATGGAGAGAGACTTTTTACCAAGGCCTGTAGTGACAGGACAAGGGGCAATGGTTTTAAACTGAAGAGGGTAGATTTAGATTGACGTAAGGAAAAAGTTTCTTACGATGAGGGTGGTGAGACACTGGAACAGGTTGCCCAGAGAAGCTGCGGATGCCCCATGATTGGAGGTGTTCAAGGTCAGTTTGGACAGGGCTTTGAGCAACCTGGTTTAGTGAAAGATGTCTCTGCCCATGGCAGGGGTGTTGGAACTAGATGATCTTTAAAGGTCCCTTCCAACCCAAACCATTCTATGATTGTTTGATTCTATATGGCGGTAAAATGTTTAGACCTATTTTTTTGTGACCAAGGAAAAAGCACTTTTACACTTTCACTGCGTTTCACTTTTTAATTAAGCACACAAACATTTTTACACTTGTACCGTTGAATGTCTTGCTGTCTGTGGCTGAAATCAGTCACATCCAACTCAGTGAATTCAATGCAGTGAGGTGATCCTGAGCTGCCCATTTTGTTGGGACCCAGTCCAGAACGTGGTGTGATCCTCTCTGTTCAGCTTCACAATCAAAGGTAGGTTTCCTGGGGGGTGAAAGCCCATGCTTACAGGTAGTGATTTTTAAAAGTACAAATAGCAGCTCAAAGGCAACCACCATTTAGAACCAAAAGGCGGAAGATATATAACGACCCTTTGAACATTTGTGTATCTTTGCCTGTGATAAAATGTTATGAGACCACGTCTTTGGTAATTCTGTTATGCCACCTCCTTGGCCAAATTCTGCTTTGTTTCTTCAGTGTAAATCCAGGACTTTAAGAGATAATTTGCTGTATCCGGACATTAACTGAAAGCAGCTTTTGACTTGAATTTTTCAGTGTATCTACTGCTGGAATCTCCTGCCACTGATGACAGTGTCATTATGGCTTGGCCCTGAGTGTGCTAAATGGATTTTTTTTTCCTTAGCTCATATTTCCATCACATCACGTGTTTGATTTACTTACATTGTTCTTATATTTAATCTGTGGCATTTAGTCACATTTACTGTCATTTTTTATTTATTTAGTAACTCAGTTCAGCTCAGAAAGGTAACAGGGATGGATAGAGTGTGACAAGTTGCAAGCATATTCTGTACAGATCACTTCTGCGGCTTGCTATGTTTTGCATTTGACAGTTTGGTATGGGACAGGCTGTTTATTTAAATGCTTGGTTTATATAAGAGCATTTAGCAGCAGCTGTAAGTGTACTGTTCAGAAGTATTTCATGTTTCTTATTTATTTTTACTCTGCATTGTTTGTGAAGTCCTCCAGGATCTTGACAAAAAAGTCTCTTTACCACTAGGATAAACATTGGTGCTGTTCTGTGTTCAAAACGGAGAGGACCCAAACAAAATTTAAGAGGTTGAGTTTGTTTATCACCAGGTCTTTGATGGCAGTATTAAAGAGAACGAAATGAAAACCTGCCTCTACTGAAGTGGAGTTTTGCTGCTGACTCCAGTAGGCCAGGATTTTATCCGTGCTCTCTGCCTACAAAAGTTAATGGGTTTTATGAGCATTTTAAAATGATGACACTTGTAATGTGGAGCTAAACTTCTCTCTCTAGTAAAGGAAGGGAGACAGCCTTGTAGTGCTATTGGGGAAGTAGAGGGAAAGAAAAATCCCCAAAGAGGTCGGACCGAATGACAGTTTTGGCTGAACATGAACAGGAACAAAACAGGACCTCATGGTTTCAGTCTCTGCCCTGATGAGAACAGCTGGTGAAAGGCAAGTTCTAATGCTGGCAAAAAATAATGGCTCATTTATTAGTAAGCTTTTTTTAAAGTACAGGTCACAGTGGCCTTTAAGCCCGCATGATGTCCATAAGGGGAAAAATCTGGGCTAGGCTGTCTGTCTGGGAGCCCAGCTCCTAATCCCTCACTGTTGCCTCTTGTCCTGGCTCCCGATGGCATTGGGAGGCATGGAAGGGCCTCTAGGACTCGGGTGGAAAGGAGTCCTGCCTCTCTAGTAGAAAAGAAATCTTCAAAACTGTTCACAGTCTCCATCTCCTCCCACTCAAATGGACTGGTCTGACCATAATTAGATTCCCTCGCAACAACCAAATATAATTACAGTCAGTCAACTTGCCACACTTTTCTAATGCAAGCATAGGGAAACATTTGTAAAACTGTAATCAACCAAAGAGTTTTGAATGGCTTTCATTTAAAAAATAATCCCTGCATCTTTAGCTGTAATTGAAGACCTCTGTTAGTATTAGGGACTATTTACTGACTTATTTCCTGTGAGTTGAGACATGATGTCCTGGTTTCAGCTGGGATAGAGTTAGTTTTCTTCCTAGTAGCTGGTATAGTGCCGTGTTTGGGATTTAGGATGAGAATAATGTTGATAACACACTGATGTTTTGGTTGTTGCTGAGTAGTGCTTACACTAAGTCAAGGACTATTCAGCTTCCCATGCTCTGCCCGGTGCACAAGAAGCTGGGAGGGAACATAGCCAGGACAGCTGACCCAGATTGGCCAAAGGGCTATTCCGTACCATATGACGTCATGCTCAGTATATAAGCTGGGGGAAGAAGAAGGAAGGGGGAGACGTTCAGAATGATGGCGGTTGTCTTCCCAAGTAACCGTTACGCGTGATGGAGCCCTGCTTTCCTGGAGATGGCTGAACACCCCGGGTTTTCCCCCTTTTCCCCTCCCGATCCCCCCCCCCACCCCCCCGGGGGGGGGGGAGTGAGCGAGCGGCTGTGTGGCTCTTAGTTGCCGGCTGGGGTTAAACCACGATACATGAACAATTAGAAAAACTGAAGGAAAGCAGAGCAACTTATATGATACTGCACAATGGCAGCACATTTCAGGCCTGATATGAGCCATGATATCTGGACCCTCTGCTTAAATTATGTTTGAGATGTATATCACGTATTCTGTATTTAGGTAACACTCCAGGACAGTAATTCAGCCTTGATATTTGTTTTGTTATGAGTATTAGTAAAGGTGAAGTAAGCCAGTTAATTTGCATCTGTGAGGAAAAAATGTGTTTTGGTTCAGGCCTGTCTCTTGTGCTAACTGTATTTTATGCTTTATTTAAAAAGCCAGTGCTGAGAAGGAAATGAAAATAAAGAGTATATTCCTACTGACTGTAGGGAAGCTGCTCAGCATTTGAGCAGCTGGCCAAAAAGGGGTGTGTGTATCTTACCATAATAGAACTTAATTTTACAGTAGGTCAAGTTTGACAAGAATCAAAAATGTTTGTAACTTGTGGTCTCATATAATGTCTATTTTGCTATTATTTCAAAGCATGGCTTCTCAGTTTTAATGAGACCTGTCATACAAAGGAGGACCGGTTTCATAATTGCCTCACCCTGCAATCACAGCAATGGCAGGAACAGGTTTTTGTGGGCCTGGAACATTGCAAATAGCCACTCTTCCATACTGTGCTGTCCAACAGGCTGGCTGTTATATGAAATGAATGTGATCACAGCAATTCTGTCTGTGTCTGATAGAGTGTTGGAGCCAAAGGGTATTGGCATGAGTAGTGGGAATACTGGGATCCAGAGGACTTAAAGATACATATCACCCAAGTGCAGGGTACATTGAGTACTCCTGTTTGTAGGCCGTGCACTCTAGAGGTTGTCAAAATGGAAGCTAAAAAGCTAAATAAATATTGGCTCTGTACCCTCTACAGACCCATGCCCCCAACCTCACTTGGAAGAACCCTACAGCAAAGGCCTCGTTCATAGCTTATCTTTTGTTATGGTTTGAAAATGTCAGCACTGAAGTATTTAATAGTCTCTCCCCACCCTTTGAAAACAGCACATTTAGTCATCACCCTGGAAATAAGAGACAGAGTGGCATGCTGGCCTGTGAGAAGGCAGCTGGGCATTGCACCTCTGGCATTACCGAGCCCTGCAGGTGAGTGGTGGCACACTGGGAGTGGCTAGCTGGGAGCTCAGGGCCCCACAGCATCCCTTCATGGGATCAGAGCATGTGCAGTGAGCCTGTTTTCATGCTGGCAGTGGGTTTTCTGGTGCCTGGTTGAGTGGCAGCTGAGTCTTGTGGAGGTGTGCTTCTCAGGAGCGCTGCCTTCCTGTTAGGCTTATGTTGGAGGTGGCTCAGGGCATCCCAGGTCTCTCTTCTAGTTTATTCCAGCACCAGGCTCACCTCACATGTGTACATGTTATTATTAGGGAAATATGCAGTGTTCTGAGGTTGCATCTTCATAGACTTATGATTTGGAACATACGTATTTTCCTTTCATAGACTATGGCCCCTTTCCCCAAAGTTGGTGATAGCAAGGGGGACAGGTTGTGTCATTTCTCTCCACTGCTGTTAATAGCAGCACTCCTTTTTACATTCTTTAGTAATGGAGATAAGGTAGTTTCTAAGTAAATGGATGCTCAGTTTGGAAGATGCATGTGGTCAAGCACGGAGCCTGAGATTGGTCCACATCTGAATATATCCCAAACTCTGGATTGTTTACCCAGCAGCATATGTATGCTCTACAGCACTCATCCAAGCACAATGATGAATAGCTTTTTCCCAGATGACTCTTAATTCTACGTCTTCTTCTTATCCAGCAAATGCACTACATTCCAAATATAAATATATTAACACATTCTTTTTGGACAAAGTGCTAATGAATGATATATAGGCACATTGATTCTTTTCATGATATGCACTGCACTGTACAGGCAAACCTGTCTCCATGTGGCCGTAAGCACAGACCCCTTCCTGTTGTGGCCTTGCAGTTCACTTTTGACCTCCATTTTGTGTTCTGTTCACAGTTGTTCAGCACATCAAGCGCCACAATATTGTTCTTAAAAGAGAACTTGGAGAAGGAGCCTTTGGGAAAGTCTTTCTGGCTGAATGCTATAACCTCTGTCCTGAGCAGGACAAGATCTTGGTGGCAGTGAAGGTAAAAGAGTCTAGGGTTTCCATTATTAATTCATGGTTGCAGCTAATGCTGTTTTATTTGTAAATGATCATGTTTGTCTATTCCGTAGCCCCATGTAACTCCTCTAATATATGTGGAGGGGTTCACAAGGCTAATGGAGCATTAAGAGAATATGAAATTTGATCTTGCTGTAGATTATAAAATGAGAGCTGAATTTCATAAGGCGAAGGAAGAAACTGACAGTGTCACAAAGGGGCAAAATCTTTTATGAGCTAAGATATGATAAGTGAATAGGCTATGTGTATAACTGCTGGTCAAAGAAGGCATATTTTTCCATGAACTGTGCAATACTTTTAGTCAACCTTTGAAATTGTCTGTGGGTAATTGTCATTAATATGGCTGCCAGGAATGTTATAAAAAAACTTGTAGATAATATTGTCATGTGCTGTTAAACACTGGCTGTATGGAAATCCAGAAGTCATGATATTTCAGGCCCTGAAGAGTGGTTCTTGATTGTTCTCCATTCAACCCTCCCAACATACAGTCCAAAGGAAAAGGAAACTATGTGAAAACAACCATAACCTTGGACTTGCCAGTATTGAGAATAATTCTCATGTTTCTGGGGGGGGGGGGAGGATTTCTTTGGAAACCTGGAAAGGCACAGACTACATGGCACATTGGGAATCTACCAAGAAGTAAGAAGATTTCCATCATGATCTCGGAGCTTGCACACCAGACTTGCTTCACCGTGCCAAGCCTTTTTGTTCCTCAAAATGGAACCACTGAGGTCAATTGTCATCCTCAGCTATACATGCACACTAGAAAACAATATCAGTGAAACCATACTCTACTAAGAGTTTGCCAGTTCTCCCTGCCAACAGTCTTCTGTCTCTATCTGTGTTCTGCTGAAAGCTGAACAAGATGTTCAACATTTAAATTATCAACTCATTTAAGGCAGTGAGAATATACATTTTAGAATCTAGGCTGTGCTTAGGGATCAGAAAATAATACTATCTGTCCATTCGCAATTAGGCAACTGTGTGTACATTTTGGATCAAACCATACAGTAAAAGAATCCCAGCAGATAATCTTTTTGAAATTGTAAACAAGAAACAGAGTTTTGGATCTGGCAGTGAGAGAACACAAAAAGAGGATGGATTTGTTGAGTACTTTCTTTCTCCATCAAAAATAGCATGTTTTTTTAGATTTGCCAAGGTTACAAGCTTTTTGATACTTGGAGTTGTTCACTCATGCTGACTGGTGAGAAAAAATGAAGCCCTGAAGGTATATATAGACAGGAGAAAGCAAGAGAGAGGAGATGACAAAACTAGAATTGACGGAATTTTCTGCTGTATTTTGGTGAAGCTAGAGTGAAAATTTTCTCTCCTCTATCACTTCAGGGAACTGCTTGGTAGCAAAATAAAAGCCTTTCCATTCACTTGCTCCCTTTGAAAATCCTGACCAAATGGAGCCTAGCACTTCAGCTGCTGTTAAAATGCTGTACCTGCACTCTCTATCTGCTGCTCTTTCTCACTGTGATTCACAATGAAGATCATTCAGCATTTAAAGGGAGAGATGTCTTCATGGGCTTAGATGACAAATCTATCATTTTTATGGAACAGTATATTTTTTTTTTCCCCAATACATTCTTTACAGTGTCCTTAATAAGCAACTTGCATGTAGCCATGGAAGGACAAGTAGGAAGAATTATGCTTGTGGACAAGTTATGCCTGTTAGGTGATGTAAGAAGTGCAGCTGCCTTCTCCAGCCGCTCCAGCCCAGGACCTCTCCTGCCTGGCCCCTGGAGCCCAGCCCAGTGCCCAGGGACTCGGGGTCTCTGCCCAGGCTGAGGGACGAAGCTGCCGCTTTCCCAGTTGCAGATTCAACCAGTAACAAAGCTGCGCAGGTACCCCAGAGACACACACGCACAGACAGACACACACACACACAGCGGACACTGACACAGCCGGTTGCACAGATTGCCACAGACAAGGTGCTGCCTTCAACAGCACCTATGTACAGGACTCGCATAAAACATAAACATAGACAGCCAAGTCCCCTCCTCCTCTTCAGCTGGTAGAGATAGAAGTTCACTAGTGAAAGCATACACACAACACACTCCACATAAACAAGCACACACACATTCACAGATCCCTCGAGTACTGGCATGGCCCCTTTGTCTGCCCAGCACCCCTGCCTGGATCCTGGACCCCTTACTCACTTCACCGGTTCCCTACTCGCCGGCTAGTCCATCTTGATGCTCGCTAGCAAACATGCACGCACTCACACACTCGTCCGTCATGTACTCCACATTTGCAAGTCCCCCTGGGCATACCAGCACAGATACCCTGCCTGCCTGATACCCCAGGCCGGACCCGAGGCCCCCCTACTCGCTGGCTAGTCCAGCTTAAAGTTTGCTAGCGCATACACGTGCACACCCCACACACACTAGGTTTGGGGAAGATGCAGACACTCGGCCCTCCCCAGCAGCCTGCACCCGCGGTCCTGCTCCAGCCACCGGTGAGGAGCCCCTCACCCACCTCACTCATGCCGGTCCCCCCCAGTAGCTGGTTTTGGGAACACACACCATTCCTGCCCCAGTGGCTGGAGGCAAGAGACCCCCCACTCGCTCCAGTAGCTGACACCACAGGCCAGGGGTGCCTACACCCCAGGTCTGACTCCAGTAGACAGCACCAAATTCCACTCACACACATACAGGTCTCACCAGAAGCTGGCACTTAGTCCTTGCAAGCACACATACACACGGGGTAGAGAGTGAGATTATGCAGAGAAATAGTTAAGAAAAGATTTAATAAGAAAATATAAAATGATAGGACAGACTGCGGTGATCAGGCACAGGGCTCAGCCAGACAAGCGTACAGACCGCCCCTGTTTTTCACGTGACTGGCCCCTTTTATACCCTTTTATGTCTACCCCTTTCTTTGTTCCTTCCTGCTCCCCCCTTCCCCTGCATGTTCCCCATGGATTTGTACAGCTCTATCGATTTCCGAACCCCTCCCAGTCCAGGCCCTCGGGCCCCCCCTCCCCGTTTTACAGTCTTATCAATTGGAAAATCCAGGTTGATTTTACTTGATGTCTGTGGTTTCTTGATAGCCCATCAATTAGTGTGACTGGTGAGGTTTGTTTCTTGTCATTGCCTCCATGTTTGCTTTGTCAGGTCTGGGCCTTGGTGTATTTTGGTTTCTGGCTTCCCGCTTTTCCCTTGGTTTCCCAGTTGACAATATCCCTGATCAGAGGACCTGCTGGAATAAATATTTGCACACTCTCACATGCCCTCATCAATTAGTGTGACTGACCAAGTTTGGTTCTCATCACTGCCTCCCTTATCATGTGACAGTCAGGTTTGTGTCCCTGTATGTTCTTGTTTATGGCTTCCTCCTTTTCTGATTTTCCCTTGCTGCACTGAAAAAAGGTCCTTGACCAGGTACCCTTAAAGGAGCAGACACACTCCTTTCACATACCCTTACACTTCCCACTTTCAGTTTCTTGCACCAACTCTTGAAGATCCGATTCTGGTCCCTGTCAAAGAGTGAGTTTTTAGCTAACTAGACTAACTAGATTGATCCCTGTATAGCCAAATGGTTGATCTCCTGGCACTTCATGGCCGTTTTTTATCATGGTACAAAGCATAGCTCATAGTTATGCTCCAGTTAAAATTGAGGGCGGTACTCTCACTGATCAGGGATGGGACCTCACAGGCATGCAGAGAGCGAGACAGATGACTGTGTCCAGATCCCCCTGTTGGGCACAGGGTTTGGCCCAGTGAAAATGTGAAGATTTTTCATCCTAGAGGAGCAGTCCTGAATGCCAGCAGCTGAGGGTAGGTTGTCTCCATGAACAGCAAATGCTTTAGAGAGCTTCAGCCTCCTGAGTGAAACCAAAATAAAAATGTCCCTGTGCAATGGCCAATGGAAAGCTATAACTGGTGAGTAATAGAAGGATTTAGGTAGCAAGAAAGCTGAGTGAGCTGGCCTGGGGGAAGCATTGTGTCACCCGTGTGAGATTCATCAGAGATTCATCAGCATTTCTTTTCATTCACCAGGGTGCCTGTCGATTTTTGCCTGCTGGTTGCTGGGCAACTGTGGCAGCCTTGTACAAGCATGCTAAAAACCCTGGCACTGAACCTCACAGGAGCTACTTCATCTGACTCAAAATGCATCAAATATCTGAAATATTGACATTGCTGTAGCAAATTATATAGGAGCTAAGAGTTCCAGAAAAAACTGTAGTAGAGTGCTGCCTGTACAAGATGAAGAAGATTTCCACAGCACCTGCGGAGGAAAACTAAAGGTTTCCAACTCTTCAGAACTTCTTAGTTCAGATAAGGATCAAAGCCACCCCTCATTTCTTGAGCTTAGCTATTGTATGGTGATGGGGAGCAGCAGTAAGGATTTCACAGTGAAAGT